TTTTTAGTGATTTGTGATTTCATTTGATCACTTTGTGATAGTTGCAAATAAGAATTATTTAGTAATCACTATATGTGGCATCTCTTATAACAGAATTCCCTTAGTGGATAATTAATTATACTATCTAATCAATTGTTTAATCGTAATTTTGTAGATATACATTAACGATTAGCGATTTGAACACTTCAAATGAAATATTTCTCATCATTAAGTAGAGTAATTAACTTTAGTAAATAACCCTAATAGAACAAAAATTCCGAGATTTTAATTCCCCATTACACTTAAATTCATTGATCAGAAAAATTTAATAAACTATGAATAACTATTTTTTTGTAAATACTCAGTAAATAATTAAAGTCAGTTAAAATTCTCAGAAGGGGTTTTGTGGAGTTTTATACATTAGCACAGTTGAATGCCGGCTCAGTGGTCTAGTTGGTTAAGCGCCTGGCGCGAGGCTGATAGGTTCTGGGTTCGAATCTCGTGGGGGATGGGATCGTGGATGCGCACTGCTGAGGGGTCCCATACTAGGACGAAACGGCCGTCCAGTGCTTCCAGGTTTTTCATGGTGGTCTAGCTTCAATTGACTCATGATTTGGATCAGTGAAATTTCAGTTAAAATTACTAGAAATACTATACAATGTCGTAAATTAAACTTTTATGCTTAAAGTTATCAAATGTTTCACACTTGTAGCGTCGGTTACAATGTTAAGTCTATATACCATATACTAGCTTCTGTACAGGCCAATTTATCCATTCTTCTTCAGTCACGTTTTGACCTTGGCAATTATTTACTTATTAATCTTGAGTTTTTTTATATGAGTGTATGTGTATACACTTCTCATTTTTGTCTGATTATATATATTGATTAACGCTTGATTAAATCGAGCTGGCTTACACGCCTTCTCCACTGCACGTCATTTCAATTCACTCCCTTCTCATCGCTTTATCCCTCTGATTGTTTGTTTAAATCTATGAGTGTACAAATTATACTCATTCAAAAATCCATTCTCGTATTTGACTTAGTTAATTCCTCTATACACTAACGCGAGTTAAGTCGATGATTATTAACGATGTAGGCGACATAGGTATTTCAATAACATTCATATGATCCAATCGGAGTCAGATCCCAGACCACTAAACATTATAGTAACAGATATTCATAAGCAAAAATGGCTTTCGTTTCTGTATAAAATTTAGACTTTTTCACTACATTTTGTTGTAACTTTCTTTTCATATAGTACAAATAGGTTTAATGAAAGTAAACAGAAGGGGAACGTTTAAAAAGACCAAATTTGTGTTCATGCGATGTTTACATTATATTGAATCAAAAATAATCTATGAATCAGGTTAATGATGTTATTGTTTTAGTATTTAATCTGTTAATAAAATAATTTCAGTTTTCGAGGATTGAGACATTTTATATCAAAATTTCCTCACTACTTCATAAATACTTATGAAACAGTAAGGGTTTAGTCAATAGTGAGATAAACATCTCTTATCATTTAGTCAACATAAAATTGAATGATTTATGTTATTCACAAGAAATCAGGTTTATACTTCTGTCTTAGGTCTGAAACCCAGAACTTGAAATTTTTTCACCACAGTTTTTATTATGAATAATTTATTGGATTCTACATAGATTCGAATTTTATAACTTCAATGAAGGATGTAAAATCTCTTGTAATTCTAACCTGAGATATAATGTCGCTTCTCAAACTCCTAGTTCTAAATAACTTCTTAGTTAATGTTAGTACATTTAACTTGGAGACTGGTGAATTTATCTCCAGACATCTAAATGCTCTCCATTTTTAATGTAATTACGAAGTCAAAATATATAGTTCAGTATACTGTTAGCTGATAATATACACTTATCTTTTGACTAAGACTGGATGTGTGATTTTATGACGACAGTAACTGAATAAAACTGGGACAAAACATTCATGATCCAATTTTCGATACTTGATAATGAGCTATTGCATTCTTGGATAAAAACAATGGGTGGAATAGAAGCCATGGTCATTTTAGCTAATAAGTTAATGTGTTTAGTCAACAGAATTCTCATTCTGAATTTATTGTATCGAATTATCTCGTAATCCAAATTTATTTATCTCCTCTTATTCATCATTTTCGTGGATAAAACACAAAACCGTCTACTAATCAAACCTTCTTCAATCCAATTGTAACAACATTGTTCTGAGATTAAAAGTTTTATCAGAAAGGGTCTTTGTGGTGTTTATAGTAATTTAATAGTTGAGATCATGAGTCGATTAAAGCTAGACCACCATGGAAAACCTGGAAGCACTGGACGGCCGTTTCGTCCTAGTATGGGACTCCTCAACAGTGCGCACTACATTTTAAACTTTTATGTAGCAAAATCTATTACTTATAAACACTGAATTTCATTCACTGACACATTTTATTCTGTTTTCTTATTTAAATTTTAAACTGAACATCACTGAAAACTATCTAAAAACCTACTTAAAATTACCCTATAAATGGCAGTTTTTTCACTTGTTTTTGATTACATAGTAGAGCTCATTTAAAATAAATGGAAACGATAAATAATTTTTTGTGGGATGATATTGCTATATGATATGAAAAGAATAGTGACCAAAGAAGTAAAGCTTGAGCAATTCACTCAGAGAATGATTGAATTACGTACATTAATATACTATTATAAGGTAATCTCATTTACCGTGATAGTAATATTTCAGTCAAAAGAAATAAAACTCAATTGAGACAAACACTGTAGATTCTTCCTTTGCAACTTATAACTGATTTGGTTGTTAATGTAACTAATCAATAAATATGTTTTACAACTTTAATATATTTATGAAGGTTTAGACAATCAAATAGACTACAAATGAACTCTTTAATAATATACTATTCTGTGTGTTACATTAAACCTTTTATCAAATAGATATAAATTCATTTCTTTTAAAAGTAATGATATCCGTTGAATTTTCCAAGTACTTTTTATTATATCCAAGATATGTGAGTAAAAGATGGTAAGGATATTCTGTAAGTCGTAAGCCAAGAGAAACCTAGCATATATATGAATTAGTTCAAATTGCCACACCACATCTGTGCAGTTAGATGCCAAAATTAGTGGAGGTAGTAACTATTATACTGTTGGTAGAAAAAAATTAAGTATAAAAGATGTAATTCGGGAAAAAATATACTTATTAAGATGATCAGAGGAGTTTTGATTTAGAAGAAGACGAAAATTGGATGCACCTTATCTATTGTGAATGATTCTATTCCATGTCATCAAAAGTGTTTAACTGATGCTTATAAGATCTAATCAATTAACACTTAAAATTGTATATAATAGATAGAATACTTAGTTTGATATAGATCAAATCGACACCTTCACTTTAGGGTGGTAAACAGATTCGCTATCAAACATTTAATTAAAAATGCTGATTATTTTACTGAAGCAGGAACTACTTGTATTGTAGTGTAGGATGTCTTTAACGGAATCAAGAAAATTTTGATCAGCAGTGATGATAATTACTAAGAATACCCATAGTCCTATACTCGTAGAAAAACTAGTAAATAGAGATCCAAAGATAAAAATAATACAGTGATGAATCCAAACAGAGAGGGAAGGATAAATTATCCGAAATATGGTTACTGAATCATGGATGTAGTTATAGGTTGTTGAGTTGTATATCACCTATTCGGAATAAATTTTAACAAATGAAAACAGATTCATGTACTTTGAAAAAAGTAAACTGTATAAAGCATTGATAATTCATATGATGAATGGAAAATGGTATGCTGTAATGTAAATCATAACACAGATATGAGAGATTTTAGCTGATTAAGACTATAATTGATAAATAAGGCTGAAAATCAAATTAAATATATACGCTGATAAAAAGTGAACAGTTGTTCATTCCTGATAGTTTTAAGAGACCTTTATTGTGTTGAAATCATTGTAATGTTTAGAAACGTTGTACGTCAGATAGTAAAGAACGGAGTTTTTGATTTGGGGTTGCTCAGAAGTGGACACCCATCTTTCGATACATAAACTTTCCATATATATATATATATATATATATATATATATATATATATATATATATATATATGGCTAAACTCCTAAAAATGTTACTGTAAATAAGCGAATCAGAAACCATTTGTTAGAAAATTATCGGGGAAAAAATCGGCCATTAATTGACCAATGGGAATTGTTACAATTCAAATATAAGATACCCATCTTGTCATAAAATGAATGAAATTACTTAAAACCATGATGTTTGTTTATGGTAATTTACATTATGAATATTTAACTATTTGTCATCTATGTAAGTTTAGTCTTATTTCAATTCATAAAATCTTTATAGACAAAATAAATGCTGGAAACGATAGGTTTAATATACATGATTTATTCTAAATATAAAGGAATTTCCATTCGATTACAATTAATGGGTAAAAAAGTAAAACAGTTTTAATATCTTAATTATCTTCATTACAACATCCCAGTTTTCTCAACAACAAAAAAAACATTTTTTCCTCTTTTCAAAGTTGAATTGCCATATGTGACATATAATGGAAAAGTTGACCTTTAAGCTACTCTTAGTATGTGTATTGCTTTAAATATAATTCAAGAATTTTCATAAGTAGTATAAATCGTCTCGAGATAACACATAGTTTAGCGAAAGTACCCAATTTAAGTGTCACAATGTGTTGAAAATACTTTAGTATTAAATGCTTGTAATTTTCCATTGTTTTTAGTCTGAACTACTATTGACTATTTTATGTTACCGTTTGTACATTCTAAGAGTATTGATTTAATAAAAGTTTGTACAGACAACTTGATAAGGAACTTTGCCCTGTTACTTTAAGTATCAATAGTTTGTTTACTATATAGAAGGTAATCATGTAAATTCTTTGATGAGTATCATAAAATATGTATATTATCAATCGAAATTCTATTTCAAATTTATATATATATATAGTTATATAATAGTAGTTAATAAATAATAACTCACTTCAAGATTTTTGAGATAATCCGACAACTGAACTGTTTCAATACCAGCTTGACTAGTCATTGTATTGTGTTGTGATTGAGAAAAGTTGAACGACTATTGTAATCTCAATGATTTGAGGTCACCAAAATGGTATTAATTCAGTTGACAGATATTGTTGTTTTAATATTTTAGATTTCGTGTGTATTGTTTTCAGATTAATAGGATAAACTTGTTAGTTTTCAAAAATTACACAATAAATGATTCAAAGATAAAGTTTTTGTTTGTTTGTTTGTTTGTTTGTTGTCTTTTGAAAATTGTTGAAGTAGATTTCTTCAATTATTATAGAGGAGGAACAAAACAAATTTGAAATTTCCTCATCTTCAATGAACTATAAATGTTTATATTATAATAAATATGTTTATTTATATACTCATAGAAATTTGTAAGGGTACATGTATAGGTGAATAGATTTACACACACATACACACACAGAGAGAGATAGCAATCAAAATATATACTTCTAAACAAGTATAACGAAATAATAACAGTAATGTCAATTTCTGTTCTCTAAATCAATTTTGACATAAAGAAGATAAATACTGATGAATGTTCAGCCAAGATAGTCTGTATGATCTGAGGCGAAATTTTTTAGTTTCTATGTGTAATGTATAATGTATATGAGCACAGTAATTATTATTCTTATTATTATTAGCAGTAGTAATAATAATAATTCGAGTAAAATTCTAAAGTATACTAATAATCAATCAACGCAATGAAAACGAAAATATAACCGAATTAGATAATGCGTTGCTCAATCTAATTGTTAACTTATAACTATTGAGAATATATGGATTGCATAAAAATAAGAAATTGAACTAGTGTTTATGACTGGATGAGTTAGAATTACACAAATTTCACTAATAAACCAATCAATTACTTAGAAACACACTAATTTTGTTTCTCATTTTTCTCTTCATTAGTGTTGTTTTGTGAATGTTTTAAAAAGAAGAAAAAAAAATCAAAACGTTTTGTGCTAGTTGGATAAAATTATAATCGATAAGAGAAATTTCATTTTACTATAGACATATGGTACAATGAAACAAACTCAATTGTATACAACGAAAAGTTTGCATACGTTCGTTATGTGTTTGTGTGCAAATTGTGCAAATTGTGCAAATACTACATATACCTACATATACAGGCCTACATATACAAATGAGGTGCATAACAAATTTATTCAAGATACTATGCAGTTATGAGTAAACGTTTGTTTGATTATGAAAAATACTTTACTTCATTGATTTGCAAGTTTCAAAAAAAAAGTTTTCTTTTCCGACAGTTTCATTTTTTTGTCCTGGTGTATATGTTTATATAGTAACTTACAAACTGCACTGAATAATAAGACAGTTAACTTTGGCACATATAGTTACCTTTTTTTTCTTGAAACATTATCGTGTAAATTTACATAGTTTGTATACCATACAATTGTAAAGGATTGTGCATCTATACTTATGTGCCTAATGGTAGTGTAATATTTGTATTGTTCTGAATACAGGTTCAGTAGTAAGACAGTAATAATATAGATTTGAGTTGTAAATCTGAATTATGATCTGAATTCATAGGTTTTTGGACTTGTAAATAAGTAGGTATATACATAGGTACAGATCCATACTCAGCAAAACACTAAGTCTGGGGTCAATAGTGAAAAAAATTAGCATACACTGATTCAGTTCATTGATTATTACATTTTCATTGAAGAAATGCATAAAATTTTAAACAAATTATTTGTAGGCTTTATGTTATTGTCTATCTTTCTTAGTTCAATTTTTATATGCTAGTTTATATCGGTTACAGATTTATATTTCATTGCTTAACTATACAAAAGTGTGATATAGATAAATTAGTCTATAACGGTACTGGGTTCGAGTCCCAGAGTGAACATCAATTCTCAGATGCAGGTACATCCAGCTGAAGAGTCCAAAATAGGACGAAACGAGAGTACTGGCTCCCATTGCTAGCCAATATCCATCTTTTCTTATGACTCTGTAATTAGTTGATTTTTACTACATACCATGATCTCTTGGGAAAACAATTATGTTATATGGATTCATTGTTCTGTTGTATTAACGATGCTCATTACTAAAAAAATCCAAAGTAAATAAGATAAAATATTTTCAACTTATCGTTTTATTCATCTTTTCACTGGATAATATATCAACCCAAGATGTAAATTATTTTCCATTCAACTGGTTACCATCAAATGATAAACTATGAGATGTCGGTTAGGAAAAAAACTTGAATATTATAAAGGCACTCCTTAGTATAATCAACAAAACATCTTATCCGTCAGAAACATCTTATATTTAAAAGCTTTTTTAATCTAGTTGAATTATTCACATAAAATGGATTTATTTATATTTGGTGATGATTTAATTAGAAGTGAACTTATCAATGTTTATTATCAGAAAAGGGGGTTTTGTGGGGATTGTAGTAATTGAGCAGTTGAATTCATGAGTCGATTAAAGCTAGACTGTCATGAAAAATCTATAAGCACTGAACAGCCGTTTCATCCTAGTTTGGGACTACTCGGAATCGCGCATCCATTGTCCAGCTCGCGAGATTCGAATCCAGGACATTCGGTTTCACGCTCGAACGCTAAACCAATCCACGAAATTACGCCCCCATCCACCACTGTCTTCAATGAGTAACTGCCTTACAAAATACATGGTTTAGCTCGACTGTTCACAGCTTCTCACTTGAACTCCAGGAAATACCTCTTGAAACCAGTATTTATTTGATGTTTCTGTATTCAACAAATAGTTAGGAATTGAGTTCATCAGTCTTGATAAGTTATTATATTTCAACTAGACAAAAAACGTAATTAGCACCAGAAAAGTCATCTGGCTTGATGTTAAGTTGTTATAAGAAGTTTTATTTTCTTTAACCTAAGTAACAGTCTTTATGGTCATACTAGACTTGAAATATTCATCTCATTTTATCTGCAAATGTCTATTCTGTCCACTAACAGAATTCACCTGATTTTCAAAATAACATCTTTAAAATTCTCCAAATAATATTAAGATTTTATAGTATGCGATAGTATGTGAGTTCATCCTAATTATTAATATATAAATGTATTTTCGGCTAGGGTTGTCGTCGTCGTGTTTTGTGGGTCAACAAATCTTCACTTATACCAGTTTTTGTTTTCTTATTTTCGCGTCGTGGGAATTGTCGAGGTCCGTCTTTTCGAGTATAAGTAACGACCAGATATAAAAAGTAGCATTCGAACAACAAGACATATCAGTGTCGACGGGGCGTAAAAAAGGTAGCATTAAAAGAGCCAAGACAATCAGCATTCAATTGACAAATTATAACAGAGATGATACCCATTTTTAGGGAATTAACATTTTCATAATGTAGTTCAATAAGTCAATAACACTATTTACAAATCAAATGACAACAAACTAATGAGTAACAATGTAGTGTACATCAGTTTACATCATTGTTATACTTGGAAGTAAATTGAAGAAATTACTTGAAATATGCAAATGGGAATAAACATTATATGGCTAAATATCAATAACTTATTTAATGTACATTGTCATAATTCATTGGATGAAATAAATAGAATACGATTGATTTGATTGTTGTTAGCTGTTCGATATTACAGATAATAACGTGTTATGATTTTATAAATATGATAAACTGTTAATTATGTTTTATTGTGAATATTGAATTCCTAGGTTAATCACTCATAATGCTTATTTGGTATTACGATTGATTTACAAAAGTTGTAAGAATCAATAAAGATAATCAGATAGGGGTTTTATAGATATTACAGTAATTTAATGGTTGAATTCATAAGTCAATTGAATCACTGGATGGCCGTTTCGTCCTAGTATGTGAGTCCTTAGCAGTGCTCATCCGCGATCCTGCTTTGCGAGACTCGAGCCCAGAACCTATCGGTCCCGCGCGCGAACGCTTAAGCTCTAGACCACTGAGCCGGTCGGCATCCAACAGTGTTAATGTATAACTTCAACCAATCCACGAGATTGCGCTAGATAAGTTTAGAAACAACCAATTTATCGGATTTACTTGTAAGTACCTTATATATCACTCGTACAAAAATGAAAAAACAATGGAAAACAAGGTTCTTTTAACCTTACATATGTTAATTTAGTCTCTGACTGTTGTCATTTATAAATGAATAAAACATGACTTGCAATTGATAATCTTTTTATCAGCAAACAACATTGTTTAAGGGTAAGTTACTTATTCTTTGTAGAATCTGGTAAACTCATTTCTAGTTTTAAAACACATTCTCAGTTTTTATGTTATGCCTTAATTTGAATTCGTATACCATAAACTATAAATCACTTTGCGTGGAAGTCTCAGGTGAACAAAATAGACTGTACTGGAGTCGAATTTATTCAATTCTGAGGAAGTTAAGAAAGAAAGTATGTGTTTTGTTCAAAGCGAAAGAGGATCCGAAGATCACTTAGACAATATGCGAAATATTAATCGAAAGGAAAAGTAAGTAATTAGATTGACCTAAATAAAGGAAGTGTTACTTATCATGGGTAGCCTTTGTTTCAAAACCGTAGCATTTGAATAATAGGTTTTAGGAGTGTTGAAATTCGATTTTCGCAATTATCATAATATGATCCAGTCAATGAACATATGAATAGACCGTACATTTATGATAGGAACCAATAGTTGTGTACTTATTTCAATAGAACATAAAGGTGAATACTATAACGTCTTATCCTGGTATATAACAATACCTGTTTAATGACTTCATAAATCACTCTTCTATTAGTTATTTTATTATGAACGATCCGAGAAAAACTAGTTTTTAGCTATGTAAAAAATATTGTAAATTAACTACATGATAATTTGAGAAGGTCATTTAAACAAACTGTAGTAACTAATACATTCCCATATCGTTTGATCTGGCTGAAGAATTGTGATGACTGAGATTTCAATGTCAAATATTAATGTCCTACTTCAATTTGTGTATCTATTGTTTTGTTCAATAGGATTTTGTTAATTTATTATGGTTACATAGTATTAAAAATTTTCC